TCCTTTGTGTGGAGTGTGCGTGATTTCCTGTGTGTGGAGCGTGCGTTGTTTCCTGTGTGTGGCGTGTGCGTGGTTTCCTGTGTGTGGAGCGTGCGTGGTTTCCTGTGTGTGGAGTGTGTGTGATTTCCTGTGTGTGGAGTGCACGTGGCTTCCTGTGTGGAGTGTGTGTTGTTTCCTGTGTGTGGAGTGTGCGTGATTTCCTGTGTGTGGAGTGTGCGTGATTTCCTGTGTGTGGAGTGTGCGTGATTTCCTGTGTTTGCATGGCTTTACTGTACTTAGGATATTTCACCTCCCTCCAATGTTCCAAAGATATGAAACATACCTGATGTGGTGTCTCTAAATTGTACTTGTGTGTACAGTATGTGTGTGTGTGTGTGTTTGTGTGCATGTGTGTATAGGCTGGGTGTGCCCTGTCCTTCCTGGGATAGATTCCAGGCTCAGTAAATAAGATCCTACGCTGGATTAGTAGCTATGGAAAGTCAAGTAATTTTTTATTTTTGAATTTTTCCTTTGTGGAGAGTGATTGGCAACTTCTTCATCGCTGGTGTTTTTTTTCCTCCTGGGCTCCAACAAGTTGCATTGCTATTCATTGGCCAGAGTCTTAACACAGCAAGGGGAATTATTTCCTTTTCTTTATATATTTTGCTTGGGTGTAGCTGCGGCCAGTCCCTGTGATGCTGAAGCAGTGCTTGTGATGCTGAAGCAGTGCTTGTGATGGTGAAGCAGTGCTTGTGATGCTGAGGCAGTGCTGGAGATGGAAGGGAGCAGCTTGGGAATTCAGGTGACAATCTGATGCCTGAAAAGTGACAGCGGCTCTGGACTGGTGGGTGGGGAAGAAGATGCAGTGTCTGAAATGGGAGACACTCCATGCCGGTCAGCTTGAGTTTAAAGACAATCTGTTTACTGGTTGTTTTGTTCTACTGAGTGCTGATGAAGAATGCTATGAGTTCTAGCACTGGCTCTTTGCTAAGAAGCTGGATCAGAGGGCAGCAATGTGAATGACTCTTACAAAGATGCACATTTAAGTGTGGATTTAATGTTACATTTATCATGGGAAATGAGGTTAAACTGAGGACCAGCAGGGGAGTTTCATGCAATGCTGATGTCACTTAGCTCACCTTCTTCATTAAACCTTCTGTAGGAATCGTAGCCCCATCTGTGCCCTTACTGTGTGTGTTTTAGGTCTTTTTCATTCTAAACACTCGTCATTTATCAGTTTTACAGTGTGTGTGTGTGTGTGTGTGGGGGGGGGGGGGTAGAGGCTTTTTATTACCTTTTCTGCTGATAGTTTTTAGTTAGGAAAGGGACTTTGTAGGTATATTTGTAATATATTTGTTTCACATGAAGTTTATTTAGTTAATATGTTTTGTTTTTCATTTTGGCTTTACCCAACCCTGAACACATAGCTTATTTCAATTGCATAAATTTTCTTAGTTACTTATGAATGTGCCGTTCCAGCCTTTAACTTATCACCTTACCTAGGCAGGCTGTAACAGTATATTTTATGTATATAATGAGTAGTCAATTTAATCTAAATAAGGTAAGCAATTCTAAATTTTATTAGTGCATTTATAACACACACACCACGTGTTTATTGGCAGTTATATTTACAATTTTGGTGAAACTCAGGGGGGGTTGAGTCACTGCTGTGTCTGTGGTGGTTTTTTTCTTACAATTCTTTGTTGGGAGTGGTGACCAGTTTCCTGTACCAGCTTGATTAATTTAGTGCACTAAATTGTATAAAAATAACTTTAAATTAAAATCTGGAATGTGCACTTTAATCATGTCCGAAATGTTTGATTTGAAATTTTAAACTGTGGAGCAAAGGGGTAAATCGAGGAAAAATGTGTCTTTGTCCCAAACATTATGGAGGGTGCTGTATATGAGGCTGAATCATGCTCTTTTAACATGCACAATATGGACAAAAGGATTGGGACACCAGGCCATTACACCTACAGGGACTTTTATGACATCACATTCTAAATCCATAGGCATTAATATGGAGTTGGTCCCCCATTTGTAGCTGTAACAAAGCAAAGCTTATGTCTGTGGGAATGTTTCCCATTCATCCAGAAGAGCATTTGTGAGGTCAGGCACTGATGTTAGACATGAAGGCCCGGCTTGCAATCTCTGTTCCAGCTCATCCCAAAGGAATTTGATTGGGTGGCCAGTCAAGTTCTTCCACCCCAAACTCACCCAAACATGTCTTTATGGTCCTTGCTTTGTGCACTGGGGCACAATTATGCCGGAACAAAAAAAAGGCAGTCACGACAAAGTTGGAAGCATAGTTCCCTTCACTGAAACAAAGGGGTCTAGCCCAACCCCTGAAAAACTACCCCATACCATTATCCCTCCTCCCCAAAAATTTCAGTTGGCACAATGCAGTCAGGCAAGTAATGTTTTCCTGGTATCTGCCAAACCCAGAATGCCAGACAGAGAAGTGTGATTCATCACTCCACAGAAAAGTGTGATTCATCACTCCACAGAACACGTTTCTATTGCTCCAGAGTGCTGTACACCACTCCATCCGACACTTGGCATTGCGCTCAGAGATGTGAGGCTTGCATGCAGTTGCTCAGCCATGGAAGCCCATCCCATGAAGCTCCCAGCCGTTTTTGTGCTGGAGTTAATGCCATGGAGTCAAAAGAGCTTTAGGGACTTTTACACACTTATGCATCTCAGTACTCAATGACCCCACACTCATACTTTATGTGCTCTGCTACTTAGTGGCTGACTTTATGTTGCTCATAAATGCTTCCACTTTGCAATAATACAACTTACAGCTGACCGTGGAATATCACGAAGTGAAGTGACTTATTGCAAAGGTGACATCCTATGACAGTACCACACTTGAAATGGGTCTGATTGAAACACCAAAGTTCAGTGATTAAGAGGTGTGTTCCAATGTTTGTCCATATGATAAATATAACAAAAAAGTGTATTGTTCAGTGCAGGAAGTATACATGAACCGGACACATGCTTTGTTAACATAGAAGGTGCAAACTTTAATGCAGGTGGAACAGCTTGGTGTTATTTTAAAATTGAACAATCAATATCAAGAAGGCAATGCTTCCCACTAGATGGCAGCATTTACATAATAATATGACTAAATCACTCTTGAGACGACAAATACAGACCATTGTACAACAATACCCCGCCCGAATATATACGTCATAAGACATAAATAAATAACAGTAAAGTGTATAGTTCAGTGCAGTGAGTATAAATGAAGCAGAAACACGATTTGTAAATACAGAAGGTGAATACCTTAATGCAAGTGAAACAGTATGGCGATGAGTCAGAGTTTGTGTCCTTTGAGTTGGGTGATGTTATGGATGAACACTAGAATAATGAATATATAGGCATAGTATAGTTCACACTTATTGTACAGCTCTAGTTTATTTTCAGGGGAGGGGCATGGATGGACAACAGTAAAAGGAGCGGTATACCGGAATAGGAAATACTACAGCCGTCACCGCCTTCTTTCTATAAAGTGAAAATAAAAACATTTTTTAAATTGCACAGTAATTATATGGTTATGTCTTGTTACTCGTGTGCTTGTCCAGAAAAGTTATAGTAAAATATATTTCGCTAATTTCTTCTAAACTTTGAATAAATCAAATAAATCTATTTATATAAGGCACTCAGCCGATCACTTCGCCTACCACAATTAATATACCAAACAATGAAAAGACTATTAGGATTTTAACTAAGAGTGAACTACCAGAGAGTACGAAAATGTTACTATAATTGCAAGTAACTTTTTGGACGCATTTTTATGCCTTTAAAGAAAAGGCTTATAATAATGGACTAGTTTAAACCAAAGCACTAAGGACATTTTGCTCGATACTAACCACCCCCCACCCATTTTTTTTTACCGTCAGTGTTGGGTCGGCACCGAATCGGCGATACCAACCACGGTATTACTTGGTATCGGATCGAAAAGAAAATCAGTAGTATCGACATTTTTGAAAATCGGTGTCCCGCCTTTGACAAATGACAACACTCAGAGCCAATGAAAATGGGGAACAGTCTGGGAAAGCCTATCGGATTTCGGGACGCTAGTGCCAGCCCGCCTCCCTGTAGGCCCGCCATTGCTGGTGACCCCTGTCGTCGTTCATTTATGTTGCAGCTTTTCTTCATGAAGTTTGAAGGTGTGAAATATACTTGGTTAAGTTTTATATATGTGCGGTGCTCGGTTTTCGTGCCTGTCACCGTGAGGGCGCAGGCTGGTTATCCTGGAGTGAGTGAAACGGCGGTTTGAAGAAGCCGGTGATTCTGGGTAAAAATGGAAACACTGAGCGGCCGTGACCAGTGAGTCACAGATGAGTAAATACGGCGCCGCAAACCGCCATCTAGGCGGCGCTTCCGTCATTTCCTCTGCTGCTGTGTATGTAGGTTGTTTCTTCTGCAGTATGTCCTGTTTTCAGCTTTTTGGCAGTTGATTTACGGAGGGTTGGTGTGGTACCAGTGATGATTGAACGAAGCAGAAAACGCTCAGTTACTTCTTTAGCTCATTGTTTATCAAATATTTATTTTGACTGAAGACGCACACTGAATGTGCTAAAATTTGCGATATGCAAATTAATGCATTTTAGAAAATGTATGTTTATGTATAAGTTCACATAACCAATCCAATAGACAGACATAATGAAAAAATGGGGAAGCACAACAGTAATAACACAAATAATGAGAAAAGTGAGGAAGCACAGCAAGAATAAACAACACAAATAATATAAGAACATAAGAAGAATGAGAGCCTTTGTATTTACACATCACCCCAGGTGGCTGGGTCTCGCTACAAATGGAGATCCCACCCACCTAGCTAGTGCACCTTATACCTGCATGGAGATGTGGGCTAGCCTGAGGAGCTATTTTGTAACCCTTGGCCACCCCCCAAATTCTCAAACATTTACAGGACATCCTGCAGCGCCTGTTTGACGAGAGGGTGCCTGTGTAATTCTCCGAATTGTGCCCTGGGAGTGGCTACCAGCTCCCATTCCTTGCTGAGGAAGAGGCGCGGCCAGCCAGAGCTGACGTGTGCTGAGGGAGGCCTGGGTCGCACTCAGCTGGCGCCCATCTGCTCACGCTGCCTCCTCAGCTAAGGCAGTGCAGCCAGATTGATACGGGACTCAGCGTAGTAGAGAGAGAGGAAGGACCATAGAGAGAGAGAAACACAGGGCAGGGGTAGAAACTAATGAGAAAGAGAGCGAGGGAGTGAAAGTGAGACAGACATCTGTCATAATGGCGCCCGGCACTGACTGGGTCTTTTCGGACCCAGCGGCAGCTCGCTTCTTCTGGGTGCTGTCCCTCATACTGGCCACCCTCCTGGTGTGGGCTGTGTTCTTCTGCTGTGCTGCCTGGAAGCACGACTCCGCATTCCTCGGGGATAGACGACTCACAGGTATGTTCATCTCTGGTTTCTCCAGTGGCATGAAGGGGATCTTCTACAGAACATATCCCTAATGCATGAGACAGTCTATTCAAGAAATGATCTTCCTGCGGAAAAAGTTTTATTTTAAGCTTGTGTGGGTTTCCCAGGCAACGTTTTTCCAATTTCCCAAAACTGCCTCTTCCCTCTGGTGTGGGTTGGCTAGATGTGCTTCAAGAGCTTATACAGTAAGAAGGACTTTTAGGATCATTGACAGATCACTAGAAACAAATGAACCTTTACTTTGCATGTGAGATGGCTGTGCCATATACCTCAGATGCAGACATAAATATTACCGAGAAGTAGGATCATTTGTTCTTTTCTGCAAGGCTTAGGTGGGATATGAACACATATGGATGCCTGAGTGTAGGTACATATATGCTCTGCAAAGACAGCCATGACATGCTGAATGCCATCATTAGTTGCAAGAGGAACTTAATACTTGTAAAAACCTTTTTTAATTAATTCCTTATCATTTTACATTGCATTTTACAAGTTCAGCCTGACAGTCAAAATCAATTTTCCTCTCGTTCTTCCTCACTCATGTGTCTCCTCTACCTCTGCCTAGAGGAGGTTTTCTTCTGCTGACCTTTGACCTTCCTGTGACTGTGATCATGCACTCATGCGTCCCCCCATGCTACGGAGCTCTCCGCTCTCACTGTACTTCTCACTCATTGGGATGCATTGGTGGTCAGCTTTCAACTGGTCCAGTTCATAAACACACAGAATAATCTTTCTAGAGCTTTACACTCCAGGGAAGTCACCATATAGACTTTAGCAGGCTGTATCACTCTATGTTACTGAATAGTATACGTAGGATCACACATCATAAGCAGAACTTCACCCTATCTATGACTTTACAATCTTTAAGTGACTTATTTTATTTTATTTGCTTGGACACTCTTTAAGTGAATGCTGAGTATTAAACCTGTTTGATCTCCGCATTGTCAATTCCCATAAGACCCTTCTCAGTGAATAAGACAACTCTGTTTCACTTCTCTTTACAATGTTATGATGATGCTTTGAAATGTAATTATTTTCTCTCTTTCTCTCCCTGCTTCATTTGCCTGATTCAGTTGGTTCCCCCATGATGTAAGCAATAGTACTTTCACACAGTGGATATAAGGCAAAATCACTTTGCATCATGCTTAATTTACCTTTTTCTTTTCCTTCCCAGAAATGACTAAATCGTCAAAGAAGAAGCAACTAAGCCAGGTAGCTATTTTATAAGAATGACATAAAACATAGTATATTGTCTATATTTTCAGTCTACAGTAACACAATCTCCAGTAAAATGAACTCGGTCCCTCTCTGATCCAAAAGGTTATTCATTTAACAGCCTCCGGGGGGAGCTTTAGCCTGCTGATGGGATGCTCTCTGTCCACATTCTAAAAAGTCAGCTTCAATGCTGAATCCATAACAGTAGTAGTAGTAGTAATATTAACAGGAGTAATAATGTTTGTAATTAAGTAGTGTAATCTAAGCATTACAGTTTTTAATTTTGCTGACAATGTCTCGATTTCCTGGTAGAAAATGGTGGGTTGGTGGTGGGGCATGGCTGCATTAATGCCACATACCACATGGGTGCTGGAGGACCATGCAATGCACAGTACTCCTGCACAATATCCATACTCCGCTAAATGAAACCTGAGCTATGTTGTATGCAGTGCTATTAACGAGGGTATGGCACCTTTTTAGGTGTATTCATATGTTAAAGGAGGATAACTGCACCAGCTGTACGTATGGAAGCTGCTAAGGATCCATCCATCTGTTTTCTATAACTTCTTGTCCTATTCAGGGTCGCGGGGGGTCCGGAGCCTATCCTAGAGACTACGGGCGCAAGGCAGGTAACAACCCAGGGTGGGGCACCAACTCATCGCCAGGCAGTCACAACTATGGGCAATTTTGTCATCCCAGTTCACCTCAGCATGTTTTTGGACTATGGGGGAAAACCGAAGAACTCTGTGGAAACCCCATGACAACACAGGGAGAACATGCGACCTCCACATACGTAGAGTCAGGGCAGAGACTCGAGCCCTGGTCCCAGAGTGCTAACCCTGCTGCAGAGGAGCTTTCTATAAATTTCTATAAAATGTCAGTGTGGTTCACAGTAGCCCTCTGTCTGAGCCAATGAGAAGCAGAACAGCTCAATATTTCTAATTACTGGGATGAAAGCCCTGCACCACATCCTACGTGTTTGGTGTATAACTCCAGCCGGGATTGGATCAGGGCCCTGTCTGCATGAGCTCAATTTGGATCATTAGTAAGCTACCAACACTGCCCACGCATGCTACACCATGTCGCCACATTGTGGGCAATCGCAGCCAGTGCTCCATCCTGGAATGAAGGTACAGCTGGCAGCTGTGTGGGCACATGGGCCTGGTCTGTGTGTCTACTGTTGGGTGGCGCTGGAGGCCCACTGACAGCATTCTGGGTTTGATAAAGTGCTGGAGTGAGACCCAAAGAGATGGTACAAGATGAGACAAGACACAAAGGACACGCTTTGTCTGTCCATGGCAATGAGGAAGCCGAGTCATTTCCCCTCTGAACATAAGACTGGGAACATTGGGTGCATTTCAGAGCTGGATTCCTAGTGTAAATCTCACCTGATTTTACTTATATGAAAGCAGGGCTGCATACTGAAATTCATATACATACCTTGGGCTTTGAGTCAACATATCCTCGTTGCAATCTAGATTATATACTGGTAGGCCTAAGTCTTTACTATGTGTAGGTATAGAACAAACTTAATAGATAATATTAGAAATTGTGATTGTTATTAGTATGGCTAAGAGTAGGTTAGCAACAAGGTTTATTATAAATATAAAAACTAATGGGGTGGTGCAGTGACCTGCATTGTTCCCTCACACCTCTGGGACCAGGGTTCGAGTCTCTGCCCCGGATCCATGTGTATGGAGTTTGCATGTTCTCCCAGTGTTTTGGTGAGGTTTTCTCTGGGTACTCTGGTTTCCCCCAACATGCCAAAAACATGCTAATGTGAACTGGTGTTAGCAAATTGTCTGTAGGTGTGCATGTGCGAGTGAATGGTGCGTGAGTGCGAGTGAATGGTGCGTGAGTGCGAGTGAATGGTGCGTGAGTGCGAGTGAATGGTGCGTGAGTGCGAGTGAATGGTGCGTGAGTGCGCCATGTGATGGGTTGGCACCCCATTCTGGGTTGTTCCCGGCTTTGTGCCCAAAGTCTCCAGGATAGGCTCTGTACCTCCTGAGACCCTGAATAGGTGAGTACAGAAAAAAGATGGATAAAAATGACTAGAATATATTAAGTGGTGGTAAGAAAGCATTTCTTTTCAACCTGTACAGAATTATGTACACTCTAAAAACTACTGGGTTAAAAACAACCCAATTTGGGTTATTTTAGTAACCCAGCTCTGGGTAAAAAAGGGACTAACCCAACGCTGGGTTATTTTGACCCAACAAGTTGGGTTACACGTTTAACCCAGCATGCTGGGTTATAGATCAAGACTGATTTTCAACCCAAATTGGGTTAAATCAACCCAACTTTGTTACCCAGCAGTCTCAACCCAGCATTTGGGTTGAAAAAACAACCCAGCGTTTTTTTGAGTGTAATCTGTTGCTATTAAACTTCAGAACAATGCAGTTAATCGACAAAATAGGAAATCTTTATCCTTATAAATCCTTATATACACTATATCGCCAAAAGTATTGGGACACCTGCCTTTATACACACATGAACTTTAATGACATCCCGTTCTTAATACATAGGCTTTAATATGGAGTCGGCCCACCCTTTGCAGCTATAACAGCTTCAGCTCTTCTGGGGAGGCTGTCCACAAAGTTTAGAAGTGTGTATATGAGAATTTTTGACTATTCTTCCAAGAGAGCATTTGTGAGGTCAGGCACTGATGTTTCACAAGACGGCCTGGCTCAGAGTCTCCGCTCTCATTCATCCCAAAGGTGTTCTATTGGGTTGAGGCCAGACTTGCTCATCCATGTCATTATGGACCTTGCTTTGTGCACTGGTGTGCAGTCTTGTTGGAACAGGAACAGGCCATCCCCAAACTGTTCCCACAAAGCTAGGAGTATGAAATTGAGGCTGCAGCATTAAGAGTTCCTCTCACTGGAACTAAGGGGCCAAGCCCAAGCCCTGAAAAACAACCCCACACCATAATCCCCCCTCCACCAAACTTTACACTTGGTACAATGCAATCAGGCAAGTACCGCTCTCCTGGCAACCGCCAAACCTAGACTCGTCCATCGGATTGCCAGATAGAGAAGTATGATTCATCACACCAGAGAATATGTCTCCACTGCTCTAGAATCCAGTGGCGGCATGCTTTACAACACTATACGACGTTTGCATTGCACTTGGTGATGAAAGGCTTGGATCCAGCTGCTTGGCCATGGAAACCCATTCCATGAAGTTCTCTATGACGTGGAATATTTAGTAGCGAGGAAATTTCACGAATGGACTTATTGCACAGGTGGCATCCTATCACGGTACCACGCTTGAATTCACTGAGCTTCTGAGAGTGACCCATTCTTTCACAAATGTTTGTAGAAGCAGTCTGCATGCCTAGGTGCTTGATTTTATTCACCTCTGGCTATGAAAGTGATTGGAACACCTGAAGTCAATGATTTTGAGGGGTTGTATGTCCAAATCCTTTTGGCAATATAGTGTATGTACAGTATATATAATACATAGGGAGTAAGAGTAAGAGCTGATAGCAGGTCCAGCGTTAGTATTACTGTAGTAGAGGCATGTGTTGAGGTTCTTTTATCCTGTTCTTTGATTTCAGAAGAAGAAGAATCCAAAGCCAAAGGGCAGCCTACCTGCACCTGTGCCGTCCCATGACACAGAGCCGTCTATGGGAGAAGAGGCTTCGGCTGCCATGAAACAATGGAGCAAAAAAGTTCCAAAGCCAGTGAAAATATTGGAACCATCGGTTAGAGCAGGCAAACACAAGGTAAGGTACTACCTCTACAGTGCTGACTCTCAAAGCCAGACTTAAGGGGCTACCATGTACAATCATATCCCCGCAAGAAGGACAAACGGGAACAATCTGCATAATGATAACTGGGTGCTTTAAGCACTCAGATAGACTGTAAAACAACAGCAGTACAAATAGCACGGAATGTGATGGCTCAAATTCAGCAGTAATTTTATTGGGTGGCATGGTGACATCACATCTTGTGCCCTTAGCTGTGTCTTTTTCTGTGATATGTGTGAATTACATTGTGGGGGCCAAATGTCCCCACAACCTGATAAAAACCTGTTATTATGATGTTGTGGGGACCATTGCTTCGGTCCCCACAAGGGGAAACTCAATCTTATAAAAATCTCTGACTGTAATCAAAAAACTAAAAATGCCAAAAGTCTTGTTTTGTTACCTATGGTTAGGTTTGGGGCTGGATAGGGGTTAAAGTGGTCATAGTTATTGGGTTATGCCCACAGAAATTAATGGATGGTCCCCACAAAGATACGCGTTTGTGTGTGTGTGTTCATAAGTTTCCTCTCTGCCTCTTTCCCTCTGATTCCTTGATTCTGTCACTACATTGGATAAGTTGTTCAGTCATGTGTTTTGCTTTTGTATTGGATTTACTTGATAGATTTTGATGGCACTTAATGACCCTCAATGAGACCCCAATAAGACCTTAATGACAGTTTAATAACAGTGGGTGATGGAACTGGTAGGAGTGTGGACTTTTCTTGATGGCTGGTGTGATCTGAGTAGCTCAGTCTGGGAGGAAACAAATATAGAAAGTGGATGAAATCAAATCAGGGGTTTGCCTGTTATGTAATGAAGTATTAACAGCTGTATATTGCATGCCACCTCCGGCCTTGAGATCCTGAAGTATCCTTTCCGTTTGCCTCTAGTTTCCCTAGCTAGAGGACAGTTAATCCCTCAGCAGACCTTAGCTCACACGGTGGTAATTTAGCATAAATACTAACAAGGCACAGCAGAGGACTCAGTAATGCCAATATTATGAAAACCTTTTTGGAAAGTTTTTTCAAAATCATTTTCAAAGACTCCTTCCATCTCCGATTCAGCAGGAGTCCTGGGAGTCCATACTAGATTTACGGGAAGTTCAGCAGGCTCGGACGGGAAGCCCGGCTCATCGGGCCAGCATTCCTCGCAGTTGGCTGCTGTTGGTGCTGGGCAGCTTGAGCTCACAACACGGATCTGGAGGGCGGGAGGACAGCCCTCCTATTGAACGCAGTGCCTGGACATGGGCAGCAAACCAGAGTGGCTCAAAAACAAAGCATCAGTCAAGCAGGCACTTCAAAGAGGCTGAGGTGTTACATAAGCAGTTTGATTCAACGGGATCGTCGCTGGCTGAAGGCCGTCCATACACAGAGCTGCAGCATTGTGTTGTAAATCATCCATCATTAAAAGATGTGACTTTTTTTCTTGCGTACAATAGGACTGCATAAGGTGTTTTGTAGTGTAGCTCCTATTCTGCTTTTGCTTGCTAACTGTGTGCACTTCTTTTGTTTTTTTGCTAACTACAGCAGCCTGCCTTCTGCTATTTCCCATGGCATGTGTGCTGTAGAGGAGCTGAGGTGCCTTAGATCATTCTGAGTTCTGCCCTGATTTATAACCCTGGTTTGAAGGGGCAGGGAGCTGCTCGAGGTTTGTAGGAGATTCTCGAGTCCTGAGCATTGGAGCTGATTGCACTACTTACTGGGTGGTGTGAATCCCCCGATGAAGCATCGTGTCAGTGTTCTGAAACTTATTCCAATTTATGCATTTAAAAACTATGGTAATTATGTTGCTGAATATATGCATCAGCCAGCAGGTAAATTATATTTAACGGGAATGCAGAGTAGTAGCGACCCAGATAGCATCATGCTATTGTTTCAACATTGAATTATAGTTAAATGCGTTGAATTATAGTCAGTGTTAAATTATCAGCGTTGAAACAATTGATTTTTGGTCAGATTTTCAATATTGAAATATTGATGGTGGCAAAACCTTGATTCAATGTTGATATAAAGTAAAAGATTGAAGATCATCGTTGTTTCAACCTTTTTGTCTGATATGGAATCAATGTCATTTCAACATATGTGTGCTATCTGGGGATGGTTTGTTAACGGTTTTGAAGGGGATGCTGGGTGACTTTCCTGCAGCATTTAAGCAGGATCGTAGCAGTATTTCACGTAGCTGTGACGTGAAAGCAGCATGACGTTCGTAGTTTAAGAAAAAAAAACACTTCGTGTTCACTCCGTGAATACAGTATACATCGGAAATGTAATGTTATAGGGGAAATATTGCTAAAGGTAGTTGTGTTTGAAATTGCACCTCAAACAAATTAGCGTATAAGTATTAACGTTTTCGATTAGGATGCAGGTATCAGAAGAGACCCAATAGAGGAGGAGATGCAGCATCTGCTTATTCCAGCCAATGTATTCGAGTAACGTCACTGAAACATGGATTCTTATATTCACTGCCCGGCTTTTGTAGCTATAATATAAAAAATGGATTTTCGGCGTGCATTGCAATTCAACATCATAATCCAAAATAATCGCATTCGACGTAATATATCAGTGGTTGCATGACGTTAAACCATGAATTGCATGCTTTGTAATGCAGATCGAGGACGGTTTTGTGTGTGATACATACATACGCACACGTTCTCTAGCACAGGACTGCAGGATCCGCGTTTCGGGTCATCTCCCAAAGCCTGCCTCCCAAATAGGAGTGGCCGCTTAACCTTATAAACATAGCCGCCGGCTGGGGCTCGCTAAGTTTTGCCGGTGCGCCTCCATCGGCCGAGTCGTACACGTAAACCGCGCTGTCAGGTGCGTCTGACAGCGGCGTTCATAGCCCTTTGGCAGCTTTTTGGGGGAGCGGCTGGACCCACGATCGGTCAGTGATTTCAAACTGTTATGTCATGCTTTTCGCTGCATCTTTCACTGATTTATCTCTCCTCCGCTTCTTATGTCAGGAAAAATACAACGGGGTGTTTAAGTGAGACGACAGCGTTTCGATAAGTATAATGATTTGCTGATGCACGAAGAACGAATACCGTTTTCAGCCTCTTCTTATGCTGCAGTGTTCCAGCCTTGGACTATATATAGCTGCAGACTAATACAGAGGCTGTAGAGTTATTAACTCTGTGAGCAATGGTATGCAATTGGGAGATTAATGCTGTAATGAAAATGTTCTTACGCACTCAAAATGACCAGACCAAATCAACACCCTGTCATCGCGTATTACATGTTTTGGAATAATCTTTCATTCTGCCAAAACATTTGGCTGCACTGATGTGTACTCTGTCAATTTAAAAGAAAAACGCTAATGATCATTTTTCTTTCAGGTACAACAATCATTACAATGCACTATTTATATATAGATATTACTGCAAGGATAATGCAAATTAGATTTAATATTTAGATTGCATACTTGGGGGGGAGGGGGGGGGTACTTTTCTGAGTGTTTAATAGAATATGCACCATACAGTTCTCATGAGTGTTGTCACTGAGTAATGTGTTGGATTGAAGACAGTGGCCACCTCTTAATTAGTACATCCCCTAGTGGACTTAAAACTTAATGAAATGATTTTGGATTGGAATTCCGCAGAGTTTATGAGACCATGTGTAGCACCTGGGAGTATAGCATGTGAACGTCCATCACTCTTCACCACAGCAGTGCCAATGCCGTATGTACTGTATGACACGCTGCAGAACTATCATCAGACGCCATGGGCGTGTCCTGGGGCACCCCCCTGCTTGCTGAGGGTGGTCTCTGAGGGAGGGTGCACTGTGTCCTGGGGCACCCCCCTGCTTGCTGAGGGTGGTCTCTGAGGGAGGGTGCACTGTGTCCTGGGGCACCCCCCTGCTTGCTGAGGGTGGTCTCTGAGGGAGGGTGCACTGTGTCCTGGGGCACCCCCCTGCTTGCTGAGGGTGGTCTCTGAGGGAGGGTGCACTGTGTCCTGGGGCTCCCCCCTGTTTGCTGAGGGTGGTCTCTGAGGGAGGGTGCACTGCGGCCAAAGACAGGCAACTGCATCAAGGATTCAGTGGTTTTATTTGTCACATGCAAGGTGCAGAGTCCAACTGAAACCTGCAGTGAAAAACGAGATGATCAACTCTGACATAAGAATACTGAAAGCAGTAAGACAAAGTTACAGTATAATCAATGTTTTTAAAAAATAAGGAACAGTTAAGTTATGCTGGTGGTAAGAGAAAGAAGACCAGATATGTGCAACTTGGCTCCATGAGTTAGTGCTTGGTGCATGAGTTAGGAAGTTTAATTACTACTGTCAATTAGTGTTAAGTAGTCTGATGGCCTGGGGGCAGAAGCTCCTTCTCAGCCTCTCAGTTCTCTCTGAGAGACAGCAGAAGCAATTTCCTGACCTTAGTCATCACAATGACTATGACATTCCTGTAGGTGGCGCAGAGTGTCATTACACCTTATGAGTCTTCTTTTAAGAAGCAGCCAAAGTTAATAGACTTGACCTCTTTGGATCTGAGGAACTCTTTAATTTGCTGATGCATTTGAACTGGTGATTTGCTGTTAGAATTGCCGTTCATTTGCCATGATGTTGTTGTTGTTGTTGTTGTTTGTTTGGTGCATTGTGCACGTGTCCAGCAGAGGAGTGGCTGACCTTTTCCTGTCTGAGCATCCGTGCATGTGATATGTTTCAACCATTAGTGGCAGCCGTCAGAGCCTTTATATTTAGCTGCTTGGCTTTATTTTTAGAGGAAGGATGAGTTTTGAATTAGATAGGGTAAGAATGTTAAATCGGGTAACAGCAAATATAGCAAATGCAGAAGGCCGTCGAGCCAAGAAAATTGGAAATAATTGCAGTAATGTACCGACATGCTCTTCCTTTAATCATTTACTTCTGACATCTCTGGTAAGTTAACAGTAGGTGGCCATGCCGTTGTTAGGAATACTTCCTTATATTAAAGTTTATTGACGGTCTAATGTGTTACAATGAATGAGCATTCATTTGCACCACCTAATTCTATATACATTTTTGACCAAGGTACATTGTTGAGGAGGATATTTGTTCGGTTTGTTAGCTTTCTCTTTGTGATGTCTGTTTTTATTCATTCTTTCAGCTTTGTGCCCGTGCCGTTGTTGACCTCTTTTAAAAGACTGCATGTTGGATGTAATAATATCTTCACACCTCTATGGCTGTTACTCTATCACCTTGGGGCTAGATTTAGGTAATTGAATGCTTGTCGGAATAAAATGGCACTTCCTTGGAAGGGGGAAGTGCTGAAATGGAGGAGTTCCTTGGAGTTAAATCGCACGGTTTAGCATTATGCCTGTGCACTCCTGTACTGTTTGTTTTCATCTTAATGTTGTGGGACTGCTTACTGTATACCATAAAGTAACTATAGAGATGAATGTAGATATTCTGATGCAACTGAAAACAACCACAGCATTTGTATAATTAATTCATATATGTAATATTACATGGCTTTCCTAAAGGGTTACACAGAGATGTGTGAATTGGGATGAAGTGTAATTATTTGCCAACAAGGCTGACCTTTGTTTACCTTTTCAGCTACCCAGTTCGTAATTTATCTTGAGGCGGAAAAGACAGAACTGGCCTCTGTTCATATTGGACCTTGAGAGTCACAAGCCAAGGCCTTGTCGTCCCGTTGGCTCTCAGCTTCTCTGCTGATCCGCTCTAAGGTGGACCTGTGCCCAGCCGCGAAGGTTAGGGGACGGCTCAGATGGTGTGCATACCCATGAAGACAACAGCGGCTGACATATGTTCCTTGTGGGTGTCTGAGGGAATCCCAGGATTTGGACATAGGCGTTATGTTGAGTCTGCATGCTCCTTACTATGGCTCAGTGTATGATCCGTCAAACTATTACTTGTAGTGATCCCAGCGGTGAGCCAGTCCACTTGTGCTCCTTTGTGGTGCAGTTCTAGTATCACATACCTGCTAATACTGTAGGTGGACAGAGACGGTCAGTGTTCTTCCTGTGTAAGCTGGTTCCTGTGAATCCTAGTCCCACTCTGTCAGTGCCTATACTATCCCAATACTTCAACAGATGGTATTGACCGATATAAGTACCGATCCAATACCAGAGCTCTTTTTAAACTAATAAATACAAATAAAATTTTTGTATGCCAAAAAAATCATTAATTAGGCTACTAGAAACATGCATAATGTATTCTTCCACCATCTTGTTTTAAGCATTTTGTAGCATTTCCAGTTCAATTCCAGTATCTTCCGAGAGAGCATGCGCAAGATGTGAATGCTTAAAATGCCCCACAGTTTTTCTTCCACTGGCAACAGCATCAGTTGCACTTTGGGGTGATAGCAGCCCCTCCCAAATTATTGATTGCTTTTTTCATATTACTCACTTTGTCTCGCACAATTGCATGCACTTTGTTTAGTAGGATTTTTCACTGAACGCTACTTCCACCTCTCAAATATTGCAAATCGATGTGCTCCTAGTTGTTGTTTCAAGCGTAAAATACTTCTAGACTGCAGACATGTTTGTTAGTTTGCTTTGCTAGCATGCAAGCCGCATTTCACCACCCTCTTATCTGATGCTCTGTTCTGCACCTGCTGCAGAGGGTATGCCCATGACGTCACAGCAGGTGGGAATCACTGTGCTCACACCCACCGAGGGGCAAATAGACTGTGTCGCAGCATTAGTGCTCAGCTTGAATTCCGCAAAAACACATCTATAATGGGAACGAGCTGATGTGCGATCAATTGTACAAATCGATTTAAGAAGAAAGAGGGGCTATCTTTTTACAGACTGCCGAAAACTAAATAAGTAAGTATTGGATTCTGAATATCGGATTGGTGCACCTCTAATACTTATGGAGTCTCCCATTTAGTCATGTTCATGAGGTATCCAGGTTCTATTGGGGTTTAAGTTTAACAACCTAAGAATGATCAGCCAACTGAGAGTACTTCATGGAGTTCATATCATATGTTTCTTCACCAAATGACATTAGAACTGGAGGCTATTATTATTAAAGCACAGCTAATGTCTGTTTCAATGTGCCAATATTGATGGCTTCCTTTTGTCTGGGTACTGTTTCAAGAAAACATGCTCTCTCCAGCTTTGTCAGGTTGCTTGGATACGCAACTATAATTGTCTTTACTTTGAGCTCATTTGGACAACTTCCCAATAAAGTGAATAAGGATCATTTAGCTTTGCACTGAATAGCTCACAACTAATGTTATCAGCCAGAGGGCAGAATTTCAATTACTTTAATAGTATTAATTTTCACACTTAGCATTTTTAATCTGTACCTTTTTTGTTGTTTAAATGTATTGAGCAAATAATAAGGTGAATCTGGGGAAATACCAGTTAAGTCCCCAAGAAACGAACCAGTTCCATTCCAAGAGTGGGTTCGCAAGCACCAAAGTTCCATTGTTTTTCGTCAGCTGATCTCGCTGTTTACCATTACCGAGCTAGCCTGCTCTACACATGCACACCTAGCCTACCTCTCTCTCCTCAACTCCTGTAAAAAACATTTACATAAGCAAATGTTAATATTTGTATTTTTGTTATTGGTTTCGCGTGCATTTTAACAAACACCAACTAAGAGTTCTGTTTTTCCATTGTTTTCAGTCAGTTGATCTTTCTTGCGACTGGCGAGCAAGCCTGTGTTACTTTATCAAGAATACATACAGTACAAACACCTACCTCTCACTCCTCCCCCCAATCCTCAACTTTTAACGAAAACGTGCTATTTGTACTGTACAGAAGAAACTGCTTTTAGAAATGAATGGCTTTAAATTTTTTTTGTTTTTGTTGATTTCGGGTGCATTTTAAGAACTGACAAATGAGTTATTTTTTTTACTATTTCAGTCAGCTGATCAGGCTAACCGTTAGCGCGCGAGCCTACATTACTGTATCATGAATATGTATTCACATTTTTTGTAAATTGGTTAAAGGCCAGATTAAAGAAAAAAAATCTTAATTTTAATTTATTGGACATGCACATTTGCATCTTTTGCATCTTGAAGGTTCCTATATAGGGGATTTTCTGTAATTGTATAGCTTGTGACTGCAAAGTAAAATACATTATAAGAGTAAATAGTTATATATTTGCATTGGAATAGTTTTATCTATAAAAACTAAAAACAACAATCTACCAAACAACAAGTCTATTGCATAAAATATATGTCAAAAAAAAAATTAAGATCACACAATGGAGATTAGACACTGTTATGAAAGAAACGGATAGAGAATTTTTCATGTAACACAATTTTAGAAATCAGTATTTATAAACTGGGCTAAGATATGTTTTGCTCTTCTCTGCAATTAATTGACTGCATTATAGGAATTATTTAGTTGATGTGATATTTAGATAATCCTGACTGATAAACATGTCTCATTGGCTGAAAGAAAACTATTGGGTTTTATGCCAAAGAATAACCTGTTTTCCATTCTGATATGTGTCTGGGTTCTGCAGAAGACAGCTCAAGCTTATAGCCTTCTCCTAGCCTCATCTAATGGCTTTCTCATGTGATGTCAGATTTTTGCATATTAAAGTCTAACAGACTATGCGGTACAGAGACCCTTAAAGCCTCCAGAGGAGCAGGCTGTACAGCTGAGATGCACCCACTGGGCTGCTAGGTGTTCTGTGGCGGCACTGCGAGCTGCTCACAGTCTGGCATGGGCTCTGGCCAGGCGCAGCACGGTGGTAATGAGGAGGTCAGCAGCTTGCTGTGTCACTGGGACGCCTCTGCTCCCGCAATCTCTGTTCATCTGAGGCCTCAGTGAGCCTTGGGACTCGGCTGCATGTTTTTCCTAATAAAACGGAGAGCTGATCAGGCATGAAGGCCCTTTTTTGTCGGATTGATGAACAGCCTGTGGTTTTGAGTACCCTGACGTCAGTCTGCTCTGAAAGCCGATCACTTGTTTTTACAAAAATGAATGTGCTTTATCTGCCAGTTAGGACAAAGGAGGAATTTAACACTCCAAAAACCATTCTCAAAATTCCAGATTTTCAAGAAATATATCTCATGTGTAGTGTAATTTCCTATGAACAATATTCTCATTAATTTTGCATTATATGGTTCCACCTGCCACTCCACACTTGAGGTAACAAAGCAATAACTCAACCTACAATCTTTTGCAGCATCACTGAGTATTACTGTTTGTGCTGGTAAGATCTTACATATTGTCAGCACACACACAGTGAGCAAGCAGCCTATCCAGTACAGGCTTGGAGAAAAGGGGTGGAGCATACCAGCACATTATTATGTCTTTTCTCAAAGAATTGTGGTGATTTTTAGGAACTGAAAATATACTTGAGGAAGATGTATTAATAGTTTTCTTTTATTCCCTTTAACTAAATGGCAGTGAAGTTGCATGCCAAGGGGAGCCTTACCAGGATCTGATGTCCTGCTCCACTGTTGTACTTGACCCCTGCTAAACTCCACATCCCTCCATTGTTTCTGCCACAGACCATGTCAGAGGTTAAGGATAGGAAGAATGGCCAGCAGGTGGCGGAGCTGGGCCCTGGTGAACGGGGGGGCTCCCCGAATGCTGGAGACACCCTGCCCTGGAACCTAGCTAAGCACCACAGGGTGAAGCGCTCCAAGTCCACCTCAGGGGACGTGCTGGACCCCGCAGAGCGGGCTGTCGTGCGCATAGCAGGTAAGGCCACAGCACAGCCAGATGTGCATTTGTATGCAGGTATTTACCTACCTTTCTATGAAGTCTTTACAGTCTGAGCTTCAGAGACTGCTATGAGAATATTTCACGATAGTTTAGCCTATGACTTGCGTTCACTGACTGTGAGGGTGCGTGTATGTATTATATGATGATGCAAAACATTATGATCGTTTGCTTGTGAAGCGAATAATGCTGACTGTTTCATAAAAATGGTGCATGTCAAGATATGGGATATTTTAGACGGTAAGCTAACATTTGGTATTTGTAGCTGATGTGTTGAATGCAGAAGGTATGGGCAGGACTAAAGACCTAAGTGACCGTGACAAGGGCCAGCAAGGTCAACTTTAGTGACCTAATGATAGGGAATGAACAATGGCCATCTGGTCTGGTGCAAGCCCAGTGAAGAACCACTGTGAGACAAATCACAGGTAATTTTAATGATGGTGATGGGAGTGATGTGACATGATACCCAGTGCATTGAGCCCTGCCTGTAGCTGGTTTTTAGCATACTGCTTATTTTTACTGAGTGTAGCTGGTGGTTAGCATGCCAGTTGTTTTCTTACTGTAGCTAGTGTTTAGCATGTGGCTTGTTACCAGACTCTAGGCAGTGGTTAGCATGTGGCTTATGTTTTCTGACTGTAAGTAGTGGATAGCATGGTTTCTGACTGCAGGTGGTGGTTAACGTATGACTTGTGTGTTTCGGTTGTAACTGGTGAGTAGCGTATACAGTATCACTGTTGGGCCCTTGAGAAAGACCCTTAACCCCAACAGCTGCCCCAGGGTCGCTGAAAGCTGCCTGAAATGGCTTTCAGACCTCAAACTTCCTTCAGTTGTGTATCACATTGGACAAAAGTGTCTGCCCAATAAATAAATGTAAATAAAGTTAAAAACCAGAGCTAAACTGTTTTTGAAAGCCCATATTAAGCTCACAGATGTTCAAATGTCATATGCAGCTTTGGAGACTTTGACTACAGATGGAGATCTGAACTGTGTGAACTGCTGCACGTGCCGCGGTCATCCGGAGAGTAAATCATGAGCAACGAGCTGCACCGACTCCGGAGAAAATGGTTGCCCAAGGAGTAGCTCTGTTGCAGTACATGTGATAACAATGTCACCTTCAATTCTCTGGAATGGTTTTCGATTATAACATTCCTGTAAGTACCACCAGATTTCCTATGAGAGCCACAAATCCCAAAACAAACTAGGTCTGTCTCATCAGTCATTAGTATGAGATGACACAGGTTCACATATTGCTGAACTGCAGGTGAGAATGAACGAGAATATCTGGTCATACAGGCCTCTGTTTCTCTCTCAAGCTCAGACTGTGTAGATCTCAGCGGAGAGCTTTGCATGGAACAAGCAGTGCACCTTGGAATTCTATTTCAGATTGTTGGGAAAATGCTGGTGGCAGTTCTGGTTTACGATGATTGCCATTATATTTCAAGTTGTTGGAAGGTATATTTCCACTTGCTGGATGGCTACATACATCTATCATATTGTGCTACTTAAAAAAAAAAAAAAACATTAGCAAGTTCTTTTCCTCCTGGTTATGTATTTTGCTGTGTAGTATAGTTGTCACCGGTAATCTCGTTAGCACAGCAATGTTATGAGTGTTCAGGTTATGGAGCACATTGTTCTTCTAATCACTGATTTTAATTACTCATAACAGACATCTAATTGCTACCTAAAGAATTCACATTTTATTTTGGAGAAAAAACATTCTAGGATATTATATACAGATGCTCCTCTACTTACAAATGAGTTACGTTCCGAACGGCCGTTCGTAACTTGAAATGTTCGTAAGTCGTTATTCAACATCATTTTAAGGGTTTCCGCAAGTACAAAGAGCTAGTATGCTGGGAGTACGTACGCTACACTGCTGCGCGGCGGGAGTAGCGGCCAGAAGTTGTACTAGGCGGAACTGGCGAGCGGAAAAAAAAATGATGTTGCGGACAGGAAACGGGAGCCCAACTAACATAATTTGGACTTACAGTCCTCTTCGTTCGTATGTCTGAAAGTTCGTAAGTAGAAGAGCGTCTGTATTTCCTTTTGTGTTTTTTCCCCTTTGTTTGTGGATTCTGTCAGCAGATTATTGAATCTGCAGCTGGATCTAAATTTCGTTTAATCTTTTTATGGGTATTTCATGACCAGTTATTTTGCATTGACAAACATTCAGATGCAGTCATATGATTTCAGGTAATAAATGCAAATGTAATCTCTTGAATAGCCTTGCTTTGGTGGCACTGATATCAGTATAATGTCAGACACCAGTATCATTAGAGATGAACAGCAATATCTGGGTAAAATCAGTGATGCTAGATTACATGTAACTCGTGCTGCTAGGACAGAGCTACACACACACTGTTTCTGCCTGTGATTGAAGAGAACCCTGTCGGTGTAAAAACCACAAGGCACGGGATCTGCTGTTTTATTTTCTGTCATTGATGTGGGCTGAGGATGATGTAAGCCAGCAGTCTGCTCTGTGCCCCACCCCTCTCTCCCTGGCTCTGCCCGGCCGCCCTGACTCAGCGCTTCCCCGGAGCTGCCACACGCTCTTTTGCTGCTGGCTTGCCGTGGGGTGGCTTGGACAGAGCCCTGGGTCTGCCATGTGGACAACAGCTGGCCAGCAGGTGGCGGAGGGCCCTGTGAGGAGCTGAGTCAGGGATGCTCCCTGTTTTACATCATTCCTCCTGAAGCCTCTCTTGATGCCCTTTCACCTTAAAGACATTTAGACATCATTTTGTCACACCTCATATTTAGGTATGAACGTTTGTGTAGCTTTTTCCTCGACGCTGTTTGGTTTTCCCCCTCAGTCTAGAAATACATGGTGAGGCCCAGATACTAGAGCTAGATCTGACCCCAAGCTGAATCCATTGTGTGACTCTTTGTGAATATCGTGCATTAGGCTGGCTTGTGATACAGCTCTGTTCTTTGGGGTTGGCTCTGGATCACCGTAACCTGACGGGTTTCGTGGTTTTTAAAAAAGGACACTGGCACAGTGACAAATTCAGAAAGTCTTTGCCAAGAATGGGGAAGCTGGCGTCTCACAGACAACGTAGTCATGAGCCGCTGGTGTGTCTGTAAACATGCTTCAGTTTTTGTTCCATCACAGTCCTTTTGAGGTTCTATGTTGTTTACAATGAGCTTGGAAGAAATGTAACAAGCAAGGAGTTTGATGGTGACAATTGTCCTCGTCCATCATCTAGTCGCCCACACAGAGATGACGCAAAATGGTTTTGTTGTGCATTCTGCATCTCTCATAAACAAGGAGGGTCGTCGTGATGCTCCCCAGTTACTCCCCAGCAATGTTACTCTTGAAGGAGCATGCCAAGGATGGTGTTTGGTTGCGACTTGGCACAGCTTCCTGTGTATGTATGTATAACGGCAGGGAGAATGTACTGTGTGCAGTCAAAACAAACGTAATGAGCATAGCTGCAGTCTTAGATTGAATACACTGCAGTGGTCAGTGTGAAATGATGCTAATTACTGCTAAAGCCATCCTGCAGACCACAGAGAAAGGCAGCTTTAACTTGATGTCACTCACATTTTGACTATGGGTTCTAATATGACAAACTGCAGCTCCACATGGAGAGAGGTAGGATAATGGGGAACTGGTGACCTCCGGGTCTCACATATTGCATTGAGCTTTCTGCGCTATTAAGAAAGAAAAATAGTGTCATGGAAAATGTATGGTGACCTTTGACCCAGGCCGTTGCCCCCACTGCTCCTATGAGGTGACCTGACCTATGCAGAGCCATGTTCGGGGGTGCGGGGGGATTGGGGGGGGGATGGTTCCAGATCATTCCTTCGAAGGTGTGGCTTGATATGCTTTGATGACTTACACATGGGAATGATGCTGGTTTGACCTCCCGCCAGAAGAAGCAGGAATGGCAGGCATGTATAAAAACATGATGTGACATGCCATGCCAACTTTTCTGAATGAGAGGGTTGGTGCTTATTGGGTGGTCTGCTCAAATAAACAACCACTAGCTCAGTTTAAAAGATGTTGAATGACAAGTGGGAATGTGTATGAAGTGGCACACTCTGCGTGGGGGAGGTTCCTCAGCGCACTGGGCTTATTTGTTAATCCTCCATAATGCAACAGACGCACTGTGTTAAATTAGCAGTGGAAAGGACTGTCAACTACCCCACAAGCCATGATGAATCAGCAAGTGAGGAAACCATGCTGTTACACTAATTTTACCCCAGTGAAACTTTTTAAACATGTTTATCTAGCGTTGAGCAGCATCCAAATTCACAAAGGAGATGTTACTGAGGTTTTATTTGAGAAGTGCAATCCAGATTCTGCTCGCAAAAACATTGCACTTTTTATTTTTAAAAATGTCTCTTTCCTCGCCGTCCATGAACTGTGGAATTAAAGAGTTTAACATCAGCAGGTGCTGTAGCAGAATAATAATAGCAATATATCTACTCTCTGTCGTCGTCTGCTAAGCACATTATGAGACCCAATGAATTATTTATTCTGGTCTTGGAATAGTACCATTTCTTATAGATCTCTGTCTCAAATTGTTTTTAATGACCTTTTGTGGATAAATAAGAACTTTGAAAAACACCAGAGGCTCCAGAGGAAAGTAATTTGTCATTTTTGAGAAATTATTAACATGCTGCAACATGTATATTTGAGGAAATGGTGCAATTGGAAGCAAAATCAGTGTAATTATGCAACAATATGAGGAGTCCTCTTCAGGCTAAAGCCTGGAGGAGTTCTGTTTAATGTTAGCAGTGACATCAGTAGTTTTCAGCAGTTTTCTGAAGTGCTGAGTTCACAGTCTGGATCCTATTAGCGCTCATGCAGTACTCACAGCCCCCACAAGGGGTCATTTAGCAAAACATTATGAATAATTAATTTATTTTGTTTGCGTTCATATAAGGCCTCTAACACCTTAAACACAAACTCACCTTTACAGTACAGTTTTTATAATACTTTATTGTATTTTTCCAGATTATTTATGATTGACTTT